GAATCTTCTAAATCTTCATTAGATGAATCACTAATATCTGAAGTAATTGATAGACAATCAAGATCTCGTAACTTAATTTTTTTTAATGTGCCGGAATATGTTGCAACGACTCATCATTATACGATACATTATTGATAAAAACTGTTTTGGATTGTATATCTCCTAACATGATTACTACTGTATTATGTAGATTAGGACAAAAATCGGGTAAACCGCGCCCTATAAAAGTTACTTTTTGGGAACCATCTGATATATTTGTTGTTCTTAAGAATAAACATAAACTGCGTACTTCTCCAGTATATGGATCTATTCGTATATCTCCGGATCGCACCTTAATGCAACGAAATCATCTTCGTGATGTTTTATCTAAACTCAAGAAACGTAAAACAGCTAGGGGATCAGATTTAATATTAAAGTTTGTTAAAGGTATTCCAACCATTTCAAAAAACTAGTAAGAGAGTCAGCCCATAGAAACTTAAAATTTTATTATCAAAATGTACGTGACCTTAACACCAAATTAAATATTTTAATGCGAAATGTTTGTTTATCTGAGTACGATATTATCGGTCTGTGTGAAACATGGTTATCTACTAACGTCAATACATAGGAATTGGGACTCTCCAATTATACTACCTATCGCTGTGACCGTAACCAAAACACAAGTACTCATTCCAGAGGTGGTGGTGTTTTGTTATCGGTTAATAATAAGTTCCATTCTCGCGTATTACCTGTACCGGCTAGTCCAGTCGAACACATATTTGTCATAACTAAAATTAATCTTAATTATATAATTATTGGTAATGTTTATTTTCCTCCTCTATCAGACATTTCAATTTATAATATTCATTTCGATATTATTAATAATTTATTATTGAAGTTTTCATATGTTAAAAACTTAATTATGGTTGGTGATTACAATCTTCCTGATTATATATGGCTTTATACATCCAATGGATTTATTCCTAGTCTAGAAAACTTAAGTAACCATTACTCTGAAATTCTATCTAAATTATCTTTTTTAAACCTTTTTCAATACAACAATATTTATAACAAAACTGGTTCAATTTTGGATTTAGTTTTTTCTGATTTACATAATGTGTCTGTTAAAAAATATAATAATCCTCTTGTTCCGTGTGATGCTTATCATCCTGGCTTACTCATTTCTTTTCCCATAGTTGTAAATAAACCGATTGATTATAATTTTTTTATTTGTAACTACGCGGAAATAAATTTCACTTTATCATCGATCGACTGGAATAACCTATTTAAAAACCTATGTGTAAATCAAGCTGTCAATTTGTTTTACTCTATTATTTATGAAATTTTTGAGATTTTTGTACCTAAAATCATTAAAAAACATTCTACTCATCTTCCATGGTTTAGTAGAAATTTAAAAGAATTAATTTTTAAGTAAAATATAGCTCATAAAATTTTTAAGAGTTCGGGTTTGGTGAGTGATTATAATAAATTTTCTAATCTTCGTGCAAAATGTAAATATTTTTCAAAATTTGACTATCAAAATTACTTTAAAAAAATTCAAAATAATTTAAAAACTCATCCTAATCAACTCTGGAAATTTATTAATAACATACGTAATAATAATTTTCTGCCGAATAGTTTACATTTATTCAATGAAGAATTTATTACTCCTAATAACATTGTTAATGCTTTTGCTAATTATTTCTCCAGTGTTTACGAAGACTACAATAATGTTAATGTAAATTACAATTATAATGTACCGCCTAAAGTTCTTTCTTCTTCTATGCACTCTGTCTCAATTGAATTAATTGATATATTTCAGTCTCTTAGCTCTTTAAATTCTAAATGCAGTCCAGGTCCTGATTTAATTCCAAGTGTATTTTTAAGAAATTGTAAGTATGCTATTTCACTACCTCTATTTCTTATCTTTAATTTATCACTGTCATCTGGTACTTTCCCCGACGCATGGAAAACTAGCCTCATTCGACCTATTCCTAAGACCTCTACTGATATTTTAAATATCTCTAACTATAGACCAATATCTTTACTTTCCCTTATACCAAAAATATTTGAATCTATTATAGCAACTAAAATATTACCCACTTTAAATAATATTATTGTTGATGATCAACATGGCTTCACTCGTAACAAGAGTACGATTACTAATCTGCTTAACTTTCATACTTTTGTTTCTGATGCTATGTCAGATAAATCAAATGTAGATGTTGTTTACACAGATTTTGCTAAAGCTTTTGATAAAATTAATCATCAAATTTTATTTTATAAATTAGAGCAAATTGGTATTTGTGGTAACTTTCTATCCTGGCTTATTTCTTTTATCAAAAATCGACATCAAATAGTTGCATATAAAGAATATTGGTCTATACCTATACCTGTTACGTCGGGTATTCCTCAAGGGTCTCATTTAGCACCAATTTAATTTTTAATTTTTATTAATGATATTACATTTCAAAATTGTTCTAAATTAATGTTTGCTGATGACATAAAAATGTTTCGTAGAGTTAATTGTCAATCTGACTCTGATTTACTTCAATCAGATCTAAACTCTCTTTATTATTGATACACNACTTCAATCAGATCTAAACTCTCTTTATGAATGGTGTATCAATAATAAATTTACTCTTAATATTAATAAATGTAAGATAATGTCATTTTCCAGAGCTAGAATCGTTCCTAAATTCGTCTACCATATAAATGCAGAAATAATATCTCGTAGTACGGGACCGATAAAAGATCTTGGTATTTTGTTTGATTCTAAACTCAAATTTGATAGTCATATTAATAATATTTTTATAAGATCAAACAAAATATTAGGCTTCATTCAACGTAATTGTAGCGACTTTACCGATAAGGATGACTTTAAATCCATTTACTGCTCGTAGGTTCCCTCATTTTGTGAATATGGCTCCATAATTTGGTCTCCTTACCAAACCAGTTATAAATTAAAATTGGAAAAAATTCAACAAAAATTCTTACGCTTTATTTCTTTGAAGTGCTTAATACCAAGAGAACCTCATTCTTCATACTCCCCTCTATTAGCAATTATGAATCTTGAGACATTGGAACTACGAAGAATGCGGTTAGATATTTATTTTACCTTTAAAATATTTGCTGGTCAAATAGATTGTCCGATACTTTTAAATCGATTTTCATTTCATGTACCATCTTGTAGCACCCGTAATATAAAAATATTTTACATTAACACTACAACAATGAACTATGCTAGTAACTATCCCATAAACAGAATTATGAAAACAGTTAATAATTTAACAATTGATTTATTCATCTCACCAAACTTCCACTCATTTAAAACTTATTGCAATTTCATATTTTATAATTCACACGTTTTTTAGTTCTATTTAAAATTTAATTTTTGATTTTTGTGTTATTTCTTCTTTACGGTATGCTTACATTGTACATCGTCTTACAAGCACTAATTGTTGCTATATTTGTAATACTTTATTCTTAGTTATAGCTTTTAAATTTTTTTTTTCTTATTAATTTTTTTTTCTTAAAATTGTTTTTCTTTATTAATAATATTGTTACGAATGATGTTACTTTTACTTAAAAATTTTTTGTAATTGGGCTTGTCCCGTTTGAAACTTATATAAATAAATAAATAAATAAATCGTATCTATTCGAAGACATTACCCTCAAAAAAGGTGGTAAACCGATGGAGAGAGTACTTTGAATAACTATATCAAGGGGAGTAGTTAGAAGATATCAATGAAGAAACTGATGAGTGCTCTTATGGTGCACCGTTACTAAGAAGTGAATTTAATGCCAGTCTTAGAGATCTGAAATATAAAAAAGCCCCAGGTATAGATAAAATCCCTGGAGAACTACAACAAAACGCAAGTGAAATCATAATAGACGCGATGTACTATATTATGAAAGATATATACAAAACAGAAGTAATACCGAAGGAATTTTGCAACAGCAGAATTGTAACATTACCAAAAAAGAATAAAGCTGACTCTTGCGCTAATTTTAGAACTATAAGCTTACTCCTCCACGCATCAAAGATACTCATAAAATTATATATTGAAGGATATTTAATAAAGCCAACCAATATCTTGGAAATTATCAGTATGGATTCAAAAAATAAAAAGGAACTAGAGAGGCAATATTAGGACTTAAGATTTTAATAGAAAAACTAATATCTCGAAATAAAATAACATGCTTATCATTTAAAAATATCGAAAAAGCTTTCGACAACATAGATTGGCAAATTATATTCTCAATAATGAAAGAATTAAATTTAGATTTTAAAGACAGGATAATTATTTATAACATCTACAAAAATCAAAGTACAGAAATTACAATAAATAATGAGTCAGCTAGTGCGAAAATATGTAGAGGTGTAAGACAAGGGTGCCCACTTTCACCATTATTATTCAACTACTACATAGAAAAAAGCATAACCGAAGTTAAAGATAAACTTAACAGGCTTGGCATTGGAATCAAAGTGGGTGATATATTAATTCCAATGATCCAATTTGCAGACGACATCGTAATATTAACAGAAACAGAGCACGACCATCAGAGATAAGAAATAATTTTTATTTG